TCAGTCAATTCTCCCCTACCTCTACCTCCAGGAAACCATGGTTCTGTTTTTCTTCTTTCTTTTTTTTTAGTGTTGTTTTTAAATTGTCAACTACAAGTTGTCACTTGCCTGTCTGCTACAAATTGGCACTTACCAAGAGCATTTGCGAGCAACTGAACAACCACAACAAGGGCATTTGCCATCTGCCTGCCCTGCTGCAGCTGCTGACCTTCAACAGCTGAAGGGAATTCAGGGTGGAGAGCGAGGCACTCTGTGCTCCAGGGAAACTGGTGGAACAGGTCTTTAGATACTTAGATATTTTCAGGAACTGTTTTCATGATCCCAATCCTCGCATCTCTTCATATCTAGGAAAGCACTAAATCCCCTCATGGTCACGTCATCTCCTTGTAACTAAGAGAAAACCTTTTGTAAAGTAAGTGCTTGATTGCATTGAACTCTCCCTTCACCAAAATCTTATATATTGACCTTTCCCCACTGCCTCTTTGGAGCGGTGTCTCAGAGTTATCTGCGTGCTGTCTCCCAGGCTGCAGTCCTCACTCTGCCCAAACTTAACTCATCACTCTCAAATGTTGTGCATCTTTTTAGTCAACAGTAACTTTATCTATTTATTTATGGCTGTGCTGGGTCTTCATTGCTGTGTGGGCTTTCTCTAGTTGCAGCAAGCAGGGGCTACTCTCTAGTTGTAGTGTGCAGGCTTCTCATTGCAGTTGCTTCTCCTGCTACTGGAAAATGAGCTCTAGGGTGTACAGGCTTCAGTGGAAAATGGGCTCTAGGGCACACAGGCTTCAGTGGAAAATGGGCTCTAGGGTGCACAGGCTTCAGTGGAAAATGGGCTCTAGGGTGCACAGGCTTCAGTGGAAAATGGGCTCTAGGGTGCACAGGCTTCAGTGGAAAATGGGCTCTAGGGTGCACAGGCTTCAGTAGTTGCAGTGCATGGGCTTAGTTGCTCCGTGGTATGTGGAATCTTCCCAAACTAGGGATAAAACCCATGTCTCCTGTATTGGCAGATGGATTCTTCACCAGTGAGACACCAGGGAAGCCTGATGGTTCTGTTTTCTGACACTATAGATGAGTGTGACTTGTTCTGGACACTTACGTGAATGAAGTCATACAATGTTCTATTGGGGTCTAGCTTATTTCACTCAACATAATGGCTTTTAAGATTCATCTATGTTGCTGCCTCTTTCTCTTTATTGCTGTAGCCCAAATTGAATGGATACACCAAAATTTATTTACCTGTTAATCTAATGATGCTCATTTATGTTGTTGAGCTTTTTTAACTTTTAAAATGAATTCATAATAATTATGCTTCATTAAGCACCGTTAATGAAATTAAGTAAGTGCTGAGCTAGTCATGGGGGACACTGACCACCACTGTCATGCATGACTAGCAAGAAAAATAAGCTCAATAGATAGAAATGTTTAATATTTGTCTCCTTTCTATTTTCTTTAGCCCAGGTCCCTCTTTCTATCATCTCCACTGGTGAGCTTGAGGAGATGGCAGAACAGTGGGCCAAACTGTCAGTGAGGTGTGACAGGGATTCAAAGAGCATCCTGGAGACCTGGCTTGTCTGTTTGCTGAGAAGTTTTGTTTATTTGTTTTGAATATTTTGGTTTGTGTGGGTGAATTTTACATCATGTGTTATCAAGGTTGCCCCAGTTTTAAGCTGGAATGGGGTTACTCAGGAGTTCTTGATGATCTGCCAGGTGGCCCAATGACTGTAGTAGTTTGGGAGCCACTAGTTCAGAGGGTCAAACTCTGCAGGGGCACCATGAGTTGGGGTCATGCTTTCTTGGGACTCCAACACCATAACTCCTGTGTAAGAAAGGCAATTTGGAGAACATCAAATCTTGATAAAACTATGTCAGAACCCCTCTGAAAACATGTTTAAATTCTCCAATGCAATTATATTCACTCTTCATGAAAAGGAAAGCCAAACCCTGCATTTCTTGAACAGCATGCTCCCCAAATGCAAGTCGGCGCTTCATCTGGTGCTCAAGGAAAGTAACAGCCAAATCTGTGTTCCGGAGATAAAAGTGTCCGAGTGAGACTTAGGAAGAAACTGTACAAGAGTCTCCAAATTGTGTCTTTTGCACTTCATGGAAGACTTAAGGGATTTTTAAGGGTAACATCCACAATCCAGAAGTTTCACACTATGTACCAGCTTGGATAAGATGCTATTCCACTGAATGCCGTTTTGTTTACAAACAGACTTCCATTACTTAGTTTGATCCTTAAACCCACACTATGGAAAAATAGGGAAACTGTTGGTATCCCATTTTGCAAATGAAGATGCTGAAACAGAGTAAGGAGCAGCACTGGGACCTGGGTGAGTGGGTGACCAGAGTCACTGCACAAAGCAGCATGGATCCTGTGGTCTATTTAAAATGTTGACTTTGTCTTCATGATGGACATTTTGCATTAATTTTGATTTTTAAGGGTTGTGGTTAAAATATTACTTACCTTGATTACTGAATCTTTTCCACCCCAAGCTAGTGCCTTGTTCACTTTATCTGGCCCTGCTGAGTGGATGAACTAGCTAGAATCTTATGAAGTATCCATTTATCAACTATCAAATGGGATTAATATGAGTGATTTCCTATGGTTCAACCTCATGGGTCCTCCTAGGATGGAGTCCTGAGGGCTCACATGGGTCCCTGTGCTGCCTGTGACTGCTTTATTATTCTGCACAGCAGTCCTCAGCCTGGATGTGCATTAGAACCAACCATGAGGCTTCTGATTAAAACCAGGATCTCAGGCTGGAGTAGGAGAATAGCAGGGAGTATTTTCAAAAGCTCATCTGGTATAAGATTCTGGATTAGAGCCCCTGGATTAAACTAGATTTAAACCAAACTGTAAAGGCAAGATGGCCTGAATTCAAATTCAGGTGTTATCACTTTCTAACCACAAGATCTGAGGCAAGTTACAAGTTATTGTGAGTGTTGAGTCATGTATATGTGTCCAGCACAGTGCCTGACACCTGATACATCTTGGATAACAGTTAATGCTTCTGTGAGCTATTACATTGTGCTGAGGTTCAGAGAAGCTAAGCCAATCCCCTGAGGTCACACAGCGAGTATGTGAAACATTGCATTTGAGTCCCAGGTCTGTCTAACCCCAGAGTCAGAGCTAATTGACTGTGCTTGATATCTACTAAATGTTCCTGCTAAAGAGGACTACACTCTGTAATTAACACAAGCATTTTCCAAAGAGTCCCTTCTGCAACCCCAAGAGTGAGGACTGCCCTTGGCCAGAGCTTAGATAACCAGGCAGAGAGGGGAGGCACTGCAGCCCAAGTAATGGGTTCCTTTTGCCAGATTTCCTGCCCATGGAGGAAGCCCTTACAGCCCCTGGCCTCTTGGACGGTCCACTACCAAACTTGTGACTGGAGCTGCCAGCTGCCTTCATTTCCTCACTGCCAACTCTCTCTTTTAACCTTTCCTGTCCTGGATTCTGCTCCTAACTCTCAGCCCAAATCAGTGACCTCTTGAATGTTGAAATTGTGAGCAAGGTGGGGACCTCTACCTTGAAGGGCACTGTCAGTAACTCCCTTTCCTGGGTTTTTTGCCATGCCACTGGCTGAAGAAAGAGACTTAGTCTAGCTGAGCTTTATCGCCTGCCACGTCACAGCTCATGCCCCCGGTACTCCAGTGGTCCACGATTCCTCTGCCTCCAAGAATCCTGCTGCTGTGATGCTATGCTTGCCATTTTTTCCCACCTGCAAGACCATCACCTTATTCTGCTCTAGAGTTAACCCCCAGTCACCCCTTCAAACCCAGATCCAATGGACAAGCTCTTTGTGGCATTCCCAGCCCTGCCTTCTCTGCCTCGAGGTCACCCCTGCCTTCCCAGGGGCTCCAATCCCCAACATCAATTTTCTAGAATTCAGTTGTATCCACAACCATTCTGCATACTGAACTGACATCCCTTAAGGCAAAGGCTATTATTATCTTCATCTCCCTGAACCCAGTGGGTTCACAATGTCTCTCGTGATAATAGCAGCAGCACAATGTTAGTGTTCATTGCCCATCAGATGCCACCCTGGCCACCTTACACCATCTAAGTCATTTAATGCACATACTAATTATTACCACCTTCCTTATTTTATGAACAAGAAAAAATGAGATATTCAAAGCTGGCATGACTTTCCCATGGTCACACAACCACTTGTAGAAAGTGAAATTGGAACTCAGACATTTAAGCTTTCAGGGTCCATGTGTTGACTGCTGTGCTATATAACCTCCCTGGTAGGGAGTACCTGGTGTAGGGGTTTCTCTTGAGGGGCTCAGATCTTACCCGGACCAGAACAAGCACACGCTTTTCACACACAAAGAGAACGCGGAAAATCAATGGGAGGAAACATTATTAAACGCTACAACGTATAGGGTAGAGCAGTGTTTCTTCAACTTGAATGTGTACAGACATCACCTGGGGACCTTGTTAAACTATAGATTTGGATTCAGTCTCTACGGGGTGGGAGCTGAGATTCTGCCTTTATAACAGTTCCTAAGTGATGCTGACGCTACTGGTCCATGGCCCACACTTTGACTAGCAAGGATGAACTCAAAGGATTGAAATAGGTCAAAGGAGTCAGGTTTCACTGTGGGTTGGAGAGGTCCCATGACAATGAGCTGAGTCTGGGATGAAGGCAGGGTCTGGACAGGCAGAGGAGATGGGAGTCATTGGTTCTGCTCTTGGGGGCCTGAAAACAAGCGGTGATTTCAGGGACCTGTGATGTATGCCCCGACTCTGCATACCCCTTAACAAGCAGTTGCACCAAGCAGGAGCTCCACGTGTGAATACCCCATTTTTGAGAAATGCCTAATCCTGACCATGTCAGGAAACATTTTGCAAATTCAGAAATCAGAGTCAAAGGAAGTCCTGTGTGCTCTACAAGTAGAAGCAGTAGTCAAAAGGGAACAATCTCTCCCCAAGTGGTTCCTCTTGGAGAAAGCATTTCTGCTGGCTCCAGAACTTTGGCCATTTATAAACCTTAGCAATGGAAAATGAGGAAATTCTCAAGGAGAAAGAGGTCTTGGCTAGCACTGAAGACGGAACAGCTCTCGACCAAACCATGTTATCTAGGATGGAGACATTTGAAGTTAATGGTAAAGTACTACTCCCCAATAATGACATTGCCTTTGATGTCTTTCTCTTGGCAACATAGGAATAGACAAGTCCATTGAAAGCCTAAATTTGAGCCTTAAAGATTCAATGATGCATTTCTGGAATGCTTCCATTGAAAATTTGTATAACGCTAGTAATAGAAACTATGTCTTTAGCATACAGTTGGGTTTTCTTTTTTTTAGCTTCACAACTCGTTTAAATTGTATTTAAATATTTTTCCCTTTCATTAATACTAATACATTTTATATGTCCCTCCTTTTTACTAATGTCTCATTGACACACAGATTATGTCTGTGATGTTTGTAACAAAAGGAAAATGCAAAACAAGAAGGATGAAAAAGTTCAAGAAAACTGAGGCTAAGTGTCATGTTTATTTAATGCAATTCTGTTAAAATTATTTGATAGTTTCTGTGAATACTCATGTGTTGCTCAGGGAACGCGTTCTCTACTTGTGGGCTTCCTCAGTGGTTCAGTAGTAAAGAATCCGCCTGTAATGCAGGAGACTCGGGTTTGATCCCTGGGTCAGGAAGATACCCTGGAGAAGGAAATAGAAACCCACTTCAGTATTCTTGCCTGAGAAATTCCATGGACAGAGGAGCCTAGTGGGCTATACACAAAAGGATGTAATCTAGAGCTACAGCCCTAGTGGGCTACATGGGGTCACAAAAGAGTCAGACATGATTTAGCACCTAAATAACAAAGAATATGTTATAGTGGCATAACTAGTCTGTCTTAAACTCAGATTTTAAAATTCAGTCAACTCTGTTGTTTTATTTCCTCCCTCAATGTTACACAGGTGATGTATTTTGTAAAATCTCCTAGAACTCACAACATTGAAAGTCACCAATGAGTGCTTCCCACAGGGGATCTCTGATTTCCTATTTCAGAATATCCTCTTGGATTTGTCTTCCAAGTCAATCGGTCATTCCCACTCTGTCTTTTCTGGAAGTTGTATGTTTAGGAACAACTGGAGTGCTGTCCTCTGGCTTAACTGTCCCTCTTGTCCGGGATCTGTTTGTGCAAGTCAGTGGCTGGAAAGATAGGGTGACAAAGATGAAGGGTCTGGTGCTCTGCCTTTAGGTGTTCAAATGGAGTAACAATAAAGGCAGAATTGCAGACGACTTTAATAGTTGTTGGCTATTCAGAACTTTGGAGAAGGCAGCGTTATGGACATGTGACTTTTTAAGGTACTGAAAATGTTCAATCAAATTCAGGTGATCAAACAGACTCAGTACCTACTACCTGCTGAGTTCTGTACTCAGCACCAAAAAAATAGACAAGAATCAACCCAGTCTCTGGCCTCAGGGATCCCACAGTCATGTAGGATGGAGGGTGGCAGGGTGAGCCTATTCCTAACTCATTGCTATATGATTTGTCACCAGCTGTCACTGAGATTTGCACAGGACTTTCTGGACAGATCTAATCTGGTGCAGGGCCCTGGAGGGCAGAGCTGAGATCTCTTCTAAAGTTTAATGGATAAAGAGGATCCATTAGAGAAAGGGAATGGAAGCTGGGACAGGAGAAGGGCACCACATTTTTGTGAGACTTTCACCAGGAATATTCAGAAAAAAACAAACAGCTCCATGTTGTTTGGTTCAAAATTGGGTGGAGAAACTCAGTGGGGATTGAGATTAGGGCCAATTAAGCCAGACCTTGTCCTGAAAGTGTCTACTGAAAAAAAATGCACAATGTGAGAGCAGTGAGTTAGTTTTTTTAAAATTTTTAATTGTAGGATAATTGCTTTATAATGTGTTGGTTTCTGCTGCACAACAATGTGAATCAGCCATTGTTGTTGTTTAGTCACTATGTGGTGTCCCACTCTTTTGCAACCCCATGATCTGTCCATGGGATTTTCCAGGTAAGAATACTGGAGTGGGTTGACAGTTCTTTCTCCAGGGATTTTCCCAACCAGGAACTGAATCCATAGCTCCTGCCACATCTCCTTCATTGCAGGTGGGCTCTTTCCTGCTGAGCCATTTTAGTTCATAAGTATATCCCCGCCCTCTAGAGCCTCTCTCCCACCCTCACCCCACCCCCTAGGTTGAGTTTGCTGTCTTATACAGCAACTTTCCACTAGCTATCTATTTTACACATGGGAATGTTGGACTGCAAGGAGATCCAACCAGTCCATCCTGAAGGAGATCAGTCCTGGGTGTTCATTGGAAGGACTGATGCTGAAGCTGAAACTCCAGTACTTTGGCCACCTGATGAGAAGAGTTGACTCATTGGAAAAGACCCTGATGCTGGGAGGGATTGGGGGCAGGAGGAGAAGGGGACGACAGAGGATGAGATGGCTGGATGGCATCACTGACTCGATGGACATGAGTTTGAGTAAACTCTGGGAGTTGGTGATGGACAGGGAGACCTGGCGTGCTGCGATTCATGGGGTCGCAAAGAGTCGGACAAGACTGAGCGACTGAACTGAACTGAACTGAACTGAATATATATTTTGGGCTTCCCTGGCGGCTCAAACAGTAAATAATCTGCCTGCAATGCAGGAGACCAGGGTTCCATCCCTGGGTCAGGAAGATCCCCTGGAGAAGGGGATGGTTACCTCTCCAGTATTCTTGCCTGGAGAATTCCATGGACAGAGGATTCTAGTGGGCTATATAGTCTATAGGGTCACAAAGAGTTGGACACAACTGAGCTACTAACACAACAACAACAAATGTGTATATTTCAATGCTGTTTGGGACAAAATAAGGACAATAGCCCTGGAGACAGCATTTCAAATACCTCTGAGAAAATGCTCCAAAGAGGCAAAGGGGAAGGTCAGAGCTATGATTTTAGTGAAGGGGATACTTGCAGTCAAGTACACATTTTGGCAGAGACTTGCTGCCAATCACAAAGAGCAGATGTCACTGTTAATGATTTCAGTGCTTTTTCAAATGTAAGGAGAGGAAAGAATTGTGCTCATAAAATCTAATCCTATTTATCTATCTGAAGACCTATTCTACCATTTTTCCCAGAGTACAAGAATGCCTCATTCTTGACCTCCACACTGAACTCCTTTCAGAGGGTGTTGAAAACAGCTTCAGCGGCTCATGATTTAATCCTTGTAGAGGGAGATGGTAGGTGCCAGTTTGTAGGTGGCAAGGGCAGTGGGGAGCTTTGTAGAGACTGAAGTTGGCTGAGAGGCAGGGATTTGCACTTCAGTTACTTATCCTCACAGATAGGGGACGAGTTGGAAAGAGTAACCCTGGGGACAGAGAGGAGCCTTGGCAGCCAGAGATGATGAGAGACAGTGGGTGTGTGGAAGGAAAAGAGAGGATGCTCTGGAGAAACAGAAGTCAAATCAGCAAGACTATGGTAGGGGAGTCACGGCAAGTGAGAATGATGCATAAGTCAAAGGTGAATCCTAGATTTCTGACTGGGGTTACAGATACCATGAAGTAAAAATCTAACCACGATCACTCCTGTTTGGAGAGAACATTTTCCTAAATGCATCCACAAGTTCCTATCTCCTCATACAAAGAACATGGAATGCATGGAATTTTCTAGATGAATACCATTATGGACAGTGCTCACTGTGAGATTATGTAATACCTCAGGGCTTACTGAGACTAAAAAAAACTATTTGCTTCAGCAGTAAATGGCTCCAGCCTCATCTGTCTATCCATCTATCTATCTATCCATCATCTATCTATCTACTTATCTTTCTGTCAACTGAAGATTGCTTAAGTTACCTGAAGAGGCTCGGCAGACTGCAGGCTCTTGCTGCCCTTAAGACCCAACGAAACTCCAGGTCTTCCTTCATGAACCAGTATCAGTTGCTCTTCCCTTCAACAATGGAGCATTTGAGCCCAAATGACAGAATACACATTTGTCCCTGTGGTCCATATCTTTCTGGAATGTACTTCTTTCACCTTTTTGAAAATATGAGCATTTCTCTGGCTCACATCTTCCTGTCACTCTCCTTATGGGTTGTGTCAGATATCTGAACTTCTGTTACTAGATCAGCATGCTCTTGCTGTTTTCTGTGAAATGTAATCTGGACCTCTCATGCAAAGCCCTCAATTATTTTAGGTCTTATATCTTTCATCATGATATTTCTTCCCACCAATTTCCATCTGCAGAACATTCTTCTTGACAGAGAAGACCCCAAAAAAATGCAAATAGAGAAGCTATGGTTGGGGGGGGGTATTGTTTGTTTTAATTAACACAGAACCTTGGCCCCAGCATCGGACATGGCTGTCCCTTCTTCCTGCTCTGAAGTTAATTTTAAATATTCTGCTAACAGACTTTAACTTTGGAGTCTATGCAGGGTCAGCCTTGCTGAAAGGAGTACTTTCATTTCACATTGTTGTTCTGACCTTTGTGTTTTGTCATGTCCCTATTTCTCAACATTTTTTAAAAATCTGACTACCCAGAGGTATTTTTCCAGTTTTTATTGTGAAATATTTGTAATTTCACAGAAAGTTGCAAATAATGTACAGGGAAGTCTTTGTGACCTTCACCCTTTTCTTCCAGTGATAACATCTTACATAACTCTAGTACAATATGACCACCAGGAAACTGATATTCGTACAATCCACAGAGCTTATGCAGGTTTCTTTAGTTTTCCATGCACTCATTTGTGTGTGTGAATATAGTTCTCTACAATTTTAACAGATGTGTATACTTGTGTAACCACCACCAAAATCAAGATATAGAACAGTTCCATCACCACAAAATCTCCCTCATGGTATTTTTTAGAGACACACATGCCCTCTTTCCTGTCCAACAATCACTATACCCAGCTACCACTAATCAGCTCCTCCTCTTTATAATTTTGCTATTTAAAGAAAGTTACGTAAGTAGAATTACAAATATGTAACTTTTTAAAGATTGGATTTTTCCCCCTTTGAGATCCATCCAAGTTGCTGTATGTATCAATAGTTGGTTCTATACTATTAATGAGTTTTACTGAGTATTATTCTGTGATGTGAATGGACCACAGCTGGTTTAAGCATTCACCCACTGAAAGACTTTTGGGTTCCAG